AGAGAGAGAGAGAGAGAGAGAGAGCTGTGCATGAAGTGTGATTTTATCCTGGTGGAAGCAAAACAGCAAAAGTCAGAGTGAATTCATGACGATGTTTATGTGAAGCGTAGTTTGGATCTTCTTTTGCTGCTGGTTCAGTCAATATTGTTTGATATATATATGTTTGAGATCAAACTAACAGCTTTAGAATCAGCACAAAAACAGACGTGAACACAAAGCTCAGACCCGCTGAAACATCAGAATCAGCGACCTGTCGGCTTTCAGCTCCGACCGTGTCCGTGCCGTCGGTGAGAAAGGCGACATCTCAGTGATTCTGATGCGTCGGCGGCTCCGAGCTTTGTGTTCACGTCTCTGCAGAATCCGTGTTCCTGCTCTCATTTACTGTTTTACTGTTTGGTTGTTGAAATGTTGTGAGGTTTAACCTGAGATTCTGGCGTTTCGGGCAAAATAAAATTATATTTAAAAATCGATTCAGGATTTTAATGAATCGATATCACGTTATCCAAGCTAGAATCGATTTTAATCGATAAATCGAGAATCAAAATCCACCCTAGTACTCATTTCTCTGTTTAGATGTGGAGGCAGAGGTTTTACTGTTATGTGCTAATATTATTTGATTGTAATGATGACAGAGCACGAGCTTCAGTTAGCTTTCCACAAAAGCATCTGGCAGTAATGTCCTTACTCTGAGTACATTTCAGAACCTGCACTGTTTCACTGTTACTGAGTAACGTTTAACACAAGTAAGGAAACACTGTGTGTACTTTAGCGCCCTCTGCTGGTGGGTCTTATAGTGAGAGGTGTGCAGCTGAAACCTGTTCTAGGCCCAAACTCTGCTGCAGATACAGGAGCTACAGTTGGAGTGGTGTTTGTACGACAGGCAGGTGGTGCATCCTGACCTGCTGCAGCTCCTCTATTCTGCGTCGTAGTCCGTCCATCTCAATGCTCTGCTGGCTGTTCTTGGCCTGCAGCTCAGAGATGGTCTGCTTCTGCTGGGAACAGTGCAGCTGGACCTCCTGCAGGGATGAACGCACCGAGCGCAGCTTCTCCTCCAAGGACGACACGTGCTCCTGCTGCTCAGAGGAATCAACACAGAAGGAAATGCTGTGGACGGTCTTTCTCAGGTATTAGCGTCCAGCTATTACAGGTGACAGTGGTTTCTAACATTAGGCAAACTTACAATATGATGCAATCCCAATAAGCTGCCCATATTGATTTAGTGATCAGTTGTGTGATAAATCAACAAATCTGTGTAACTAAAGGAGAGAGCGTTTATTCTACAGAAGAACCTGTGGAGTCAGTTTGCCGTCTTTCTTTGTCTTTACCAGCGAGCTTGTGCTCACTGTGCGTCAAAATGTTCATATATTAAATAAAATATGGTGCAGTTTGCATTTAACCCATTCAAAGAAATGTAAAATGTAATTCATTCGTCTCTGCCTGATGCTATGACTGCAGGGTCACTGGAG